CTTAGAATTATGAGACATAGACCATACTTAATCTGAAGACGATTTAGATTTTAATTCATTCTCTTCCAGTAATTGCTCAATTAGTCTTTCATCCCCTGACATTAAGATAGATGCACAGATGCTTGTTGTAAAAAGATTTTAGTCCTCAATAAACAAGAAGAACAAGAAGATCTTCTTATCGATCTAATCAGCAAAGTAGATGACCCTAAATTAAAGTCATTTTATTTAAAGAAACTTAAGAAGTTAGTCTTTCCTGAAGAAGTCAGTGCTAGTCAACCCCAGGTAGCCCCAAAAATCTATCTTAGCAACCCTGGAAAGGTTTAACAAGGCTAAAAATGAAATTATAGTCAAAGACCTACAAAGGGAAGTCAACAAAATTAAGGAAGAAATTGAGTCCTTAAAATCAAAAAACATAGAAATCCACTCACATCTCAGTAGTATCCAAACACAAGCATTCCTTAGCAATAATGATGATGAGCACAATAGTTCTTCCTTCGACCAAGAATCAGAATCCAAGTCCATAGAAAATCCAACAGAAAACCTAGTTTTAGGATTACTACAAAAAATTAGGATCCAGAAATGGTATTCTAAAATAAAAATAATAATTGAAGACTTTCAGTTAGAAACAATTGCCTTAATTGACTCAGGTTGCTGACTTGAAGTGTATTCAAGAAGGTTTAATTCCCACTAAATATTTTCATAAATCAACATAAATTCCCAGTCCCCCAATGCAATTAAAATATGAAATTCCAAAAGCTCATGTTTGTCAAAACAATGTTTGTTTTAAAACCCCATTCATTTTAATAAAAAAACATTTCAGGCCCAATCATTCTAAGGCCCCCTTCATAGCTCTTCTATATCCTTTTAAGGTACACCATAACCGTATAACTACCAGAATGTTAGAACAAAAAATCACATTTGAATTCTGCACGGAAACAGATCTCAAAAAATTAAGACAATTACAAAAAGATAGTATTCAAAAATCATCAATCTAGTCACCAAAAAATCACAACAAATTAATTTCTTAAAAGAATAAATTAATTACAAAAGAATTGAAGAACAATTAACAACCAAATCTTTGTTGCAAAACGTTGACAACTTTCAAAAGAAACTTGTTAATGAAATTTGTTCTAACATTCCCAATGCTTTCTGGCACAGAAAGCAACACATTGTTAAACTTCCTTACAATAAGGAATTTGATGAAAAGAAAATACCAACAAAAGCTAGGCCAATTCAAATGAGCCAAGACGTCATGGAATTCTGCAAAATAAAAATTCAAGAACTTCTCAATAAAGGAATAATCAAGAAAAGTAAATCACCCTGATCTTGTCCTGCTTTTTATGTCTAGAAAAACGCTGAATAAGAAAGAGGAACTCCTAGGTTAGTCATTAATTACAAACCTCTTAATGAAATCTTGGAATGGATACGATATCCAATTCATAACAAAAGAGATTTAATTAAGAAACTCAGTCAAGCTGTAATCTTCTCAAAATTCGACATGAAGTCTGGATTTTGGTAGATTCAAATTCATGAGGATGATAAATACAAAATTGCATTTGTCACTCCTTTCGGTTATTATGAATGGAATGTAATGCCCTTCGGTCTTAAAAATGCACCGACCGAATGTAATGCCCTTTGTGTATTAGTAAATTTCAAGATGATTTATTAACTCAAAAGTTTTTAGTCAGAGTCGATTGCAAATCTGCAAAATATGTTTTACCAAAAGATGTTCAAGACATTGCATCAAAACAGATTTTTACACGATGGCAAGCTATATTAAGTTTTTTTTTTTATTATTTTGAAATCAAATACATCAAAGGTAGTCAAAATTGCATCCCTGATTTCCTAATCAAAAAATTTTTGCAAGGGAAGAATGATAGCAAGAAAACCTAATCAGAGGAGGCTTCCAGCCACTCTACCACCACCACCAATAAAACAAGAATCAAGCTCCAATTCTTCATCGGCCTTAGCCATTACCAACCGTTTCACTCCCTTAGGTTCCACAATAGGAAACCTTATGCCAAATTACCAAAGGGTCATTAGTCTGGTTCTCTCTGAATTTCCCATTACTCCTCCTCTAGTCATCCCAGCACAGCCAATAATGCCAGCTATTCCAGCTTCAAGATCCACGGGCTCAAATCATCAGGCTTAAAGACGAATAAAGCCACTCAGCTCCAAGATTTAGCACAAAAATTACTTGCAGAAGCAGCAATGCTCCACACTGAAGAAGAATAAGCTTTAGACTCTGAATCTTCAGATGCATCCTCATAGCAACCAGCCAATTCGATAAGTCAAAAAATACAGTCTGCCAAGTGGGTCGACTATAAGGATTTGCAAGACCATTTTGCATAAGGCCATGTGAATACAGTTAATTACCATGTGAAAATTCAGTCATCATGTCTTGTCATCATGTGAACACTATTGCCATGTGAAAATTCAGTCATCTTTCCAAGTCACCATATGAAGCGTTCAGACAATATTCGCATCAATAATTCCAACAAAGCATGGAATCATTCAGTCATCTGCACATTCCACATTAAAAGAAGAAATTATTCCAACAAGTTCACTATTCATCAATAGTAAAAGTAAATTATCACCCAACAGTAAAGCAATCAATCATCCAGTTCTCTTTTCCAAGTCTATATGAAGGGGACTCAGATGAAGGAGACATCAAGTTAATTTCTACATCTTTTCTTAGTCAAAATTTCTTTGGGACATTGTATTCAAAGAAAACCAAATTGTAAACAATTTAAATTCTCAAATGTCAAGAATGCCTGCATGCACCAATATCCTTTTCACCAGTCAATTTCTTATTTGCCGACTCAATCATTAGTAAATTAATTATAAGTTCCAGTGTCAGTTTTGCAATAAAATTTATTTTCAAATTATAATTGCATCATTATTTTGAATTCATTATTTTCATTATGAATATTTTCATAACTACTAATTTTGAATGGCATAAAATTCTTACAGTCAATTCATCGAATATCTCAAATTCAAGGTAAACACAGATGACTCCTTCATCCGATTTTCCTTATTCATTTATAATAGTTTGTTTCATGGTTTATTCAATCCTGGCTATCCACTGCATCAAATCTCCAATTCACATGATTTGCATCATCATTGCCCTCTTCATCATCATAATCACTAGTTCCGCCCCATTTATGTGTATATATATAAAGACAATCTGATATGTTAGCGGAAGCATCTTATAAAGACAATCTATGCACTTTAAATTATTCTCAATGAGTATGAATCTTTTTAATGTTCTAATCCTTTATCATGATTAAGGAATCAATTTCCAACATTAAATTCATATAAACTCACTCTAAACATTCTGTATAATTTGAAAGAATTTGAATTTCAAAAATACATACATACCTCTTCGCAGTTAACTTTTGAGATTTGCCAATTTCAACATCTATCTTGACTCAAAATCATGTTTTAGAGAAGCAACAAGAAAGAAATAGGTCTATCGAAGACGATGAGGGAGAACCCTCTTCGAAGAACATGATGAAAACTGAATCCCAGATTTCCCAATGGTCAATTTTGGGTATTTAAATATCTTATGAAACGACACTGTTTTGCAGCTTGTTTTCCAACGGCTCTATTAATGAAAACGACACCATTTCTAATTAAAGGCTTTAAGAACCCTAAGAACTCAGTCTGAAACCCAGCTAGTATTTTTTCATGCATTCTACTTTTAATTTTAGTTGAATTCAATGGTTGAAACCTAATGGCTCTGATACCACATGTAACAACAAGTTTGTAACATCTTATCCAAGGAACAAGAATTCATCCAATTGAATCACAACTAATGTAAACCTTTCGTTGAACACACTTAAGAACCAAAGCCTTTAAAACATACATGCATTATTTGATCCTGATGAAGAAACCATTGCAACCTCTGTGCTCAAAACCTTCTCCTCTTTTGCGATGATAATAACTCTTCTACTCAATAGGTCTTAGAACAAAACAAGCTGGTGAATTGCAAGAGCAGTGGTTTGAACCATATATATAGTACTCCTCTGTCCATTCCCTATCAAAATTGGACTAGGATTCAAACTATACAAACCATAAAGAATTATGAGACTTTATAACGTTCCAACACTAAGTTCTTTTCCAAAACCAATTGGAACTTCTCTCGATTATGTTATCCTAAAACATTGAGGACAACCTAACAGCTTTAACCAAGACTTTTCCATACAAAACAAAAAAGTCTCAGAAAAAATATTGCAAGACATCAACATCCATAGACAAGAGGCACAACGTTCTCTGAAAACATTGTCTCATTGAACAACATATTGTTTTAAGACATAATTAATTACCATAAAATTCACCCACATTGTCTTGAAACTTCTTTTTCTTCTGCGAGTATATTGTCTTGAAACTTAACAGCACGTGTTGCACCTCTATTATGCATGCCATCAAGTAAGATAGGTGGCTTCAAAATAAAAGGAAAGAAATTTTCAAGGCATCAAACACATATATGAAACAACCAGAATTTTCTCTGACTGTAATGCACAATTACACAAAAGCATTTTACAAGCCATCATCAAGCAATTCAAATTTCAGGATCGGATGCAAAAACTCCAAGCACAAATAAAGCACAAACATCAAATCACGTCCTTGTTAGAAAAGCCTGAAGTGTGTATAAGAACACTAAAAGCGAATTGGGCCAACTAACATACCTATAATTCACAGAAACATTAATCCCAATTCCAATCAATAGAAATCACTATGTACCCTGGACCTAAAAACACTGGCACCCATGTACAACTATCCTCAAATGTATAAAGCAAAAGCATGATTCCCAGTTCATGCATAATGTTTGAATAGAATCAGATACTTACCCCATCTTTACCGCTCACCAATTATCCAACAACCATACATATATTTACACACACACACACACATATACATATACATATACATATATATATATATATAGACATAAGTTTATAAATGCTCTCTATAAAAAAACCTTGTTTTCTTACTTCATCTCTGTGTTTATCATTTTGTTTATCATGCTTCCATTAAACACCAAGGTAAGCATTAATCTCTTCTTTTTCACCTCTATTTCTTAGGGCTGATTTGGTATTGCTGTGCATTGAAAAAAAAATTACTTTTGCTGTGCTGTGAGAATAAGCTTATTTTTCCTGCTTCACGTTTTCAACTTTTTTCATCCAAAACTGTGAAAATAAGCTGTTTTTAAGTGTTTACCAAACACCCTTTTTAGCTCAGCTTTTTTTTATACGCACTTTTTATAAAAACACCTCAGTACCAAACCAGTACTTACTCTTGTATTTTTTTTTTGGTTTTATTATTAGAAGTGATATTACTAGTCTAATCTACGTCAAAAGAATAGAGGAGAGTTTGAACCCAAGAGACAGTAGGTTGAAAGGAACGTTGTATCCACCATTACTCAGTCGTTGTGCACTCGATCGTCATTTCTATTTACCTATTAAAACTGTGTATCAACACAAGCTTTGAATAAGAAAATAGCATTTAACGTACGTTTAAACAAGGAAACTGGTTTTTAACTTTTTATGTAGGAAGATGGCAAGGAGCAAGCAGGCGGGAAGAGGAAGATCATGGAAGTAGGACCATGGAGAGGAAATGGTGGAACTCCTTGGGACGACGGCATCTACAATGGCGTGAGAGAAATCACGCATGTTTATGGCCACTGCATCGACTCCATCACCGTGGCGTATAATAAAAACGGCAAGCCTTTCAAAGCTGAAATGCATGGAGGTCACGGAGGCACTCAAACCGCAGAGGTCTGCTTCGTAGCTCATAGTTTTCATTTTATTTCAACAACTATTGTCTCGGAGATTCGAACTTAAGACCTCATTCATACCTTATCTTTTTCATGCCTTGCAGATAAAGCTGCAGTACCCCGACGAGTACATAGTCAGTGTGACCGGGCACTATTGTACGATGGTGGATGCCGGCATCTATTCCCCTATCATCCGTTCGCTTAAATTTCAGAGCAATCGAAGAACATTCGGACCATTTGGAATGGATGAAGGCACACCGTTTACTTACACTCTGGATGGAGGCAAAATTGTTGGCTTGAAGGGAAGAGATGGTTTATACATAGATGCCATTGGGTTTCATGTATCTCCTGCCCCAGCAAGACTCTGTGACAGAGTTCAGAAGAGTTTCAGAAGGCTCGGGTGCTCGGTTAGCTGCGGAGCCCAGATAAACTGCAACGACTCGACTGCTTCAAGTTGAAATATATATAATTCATAGCTAAAGGTTTTGAATGTATAAGCTAGTGTGTTTCTGCTTGTGATTGTTTGTGTTGATGTACACTTATGCTATCCAAATAACCTGTACTGTGTTTTCCGTACAACGACATGAAAACATGCTTCACTTTTAAGGTCTCCCTTGAAAACGTTTCCCAGAAAACACTTATGACCTTAAGCGCTTTTACTAGAAGTAAAAACATGTTGGAAATTTTTAGTGAGTATCCTATCCAAGTGCTTTCCTTACGCGCAATCATACCAATTCACATGCATTGAATCCCATCCAAACTCCAAAGTTAAACGAATTTGGGCGAGAGTAGTACTAGAATGGGTGACCGTCTGGGAAGTTCTTGTGTTGCATCCCCCTACAGCCGCCCCCACCCAGTGGGAAAAGCTTTGTTGTGTTGTGTTGTATCCAATTCAAGTGCTTTTTGAAAAGAACTTGAAGTGCGTCTGTAAAGCAAGCGTTTTAACTTTCTCGACCAAACGTTGTTACAAACACTCTGTTAGATGCACTACTAAACAGACCCAAGTCCTATCAGCCTTTACAAAACTCCATTCAATTCAATTCATGATCATCATAGCAAGTAGTGCTAATTCATGATCATCATAGCAAGTAGTGCTCTAACAATAACATTTAACAAGGTAACGATATTCCAAATTCCACAAACCCCGACAGCACATGAACCACCGCAATCACAGAAAATAAACGCAAGAAATCACTATATTCTTGCGATTTATTTAAATAACTTCTGCAAGTACTAAAATGCCAAGTTCATACAATATGTGTCGCATGTTGGCTGCCTAGCAAATATTATTCTAACAAGTGAGGTTTAAAAATCCATCAGATATTTAGCTGTAAACCGTGATCAAAGAATCATATGACTCACATTCTTTATCAACTATATAAAGATTACAAGAAGTTTATGACCGACTCCGGTTTAGAAAATGGACCTAAAAACACACAGATTGCTGAAAAATGCTCTTCTTTACTGGAACGCAAGCATTCATAACATCTTTTAATCATAAACCACTGACTATGTGAAGCAATAAAATAAAAACAGAATTAGCCATTCAGTACACTAGATGAGAACATCCAGATCTCATTTCAAGTTATTGTTGTAAAACACTGATCCAACAACAAACCAATTATATAGCCATGACTATTACTTATTCTAACAGCGTGTTGGCATCAACGTGAAAAACTGGTACATAAGATCAGCAAGACTACTGCTAATAAGAACTTGAATAGCATAACTCCCATGTTTTCTACCAAAAAAATAAGTACCAAATGCTTGAAAATGAAGCAATTATCAACGAGACACGTTGTCCTGCATTTAGCAGCACACCATACAACAGTTTCATGCACATACACAAAATAAAAAATGGTGCACTCAGAAAAAATATTGCAAGACATCAGCATCCAAAGACAAGAGGCACAGAGTTGTATGAAAACACTGTTTTGAAAAATTATTAATTACCATAAAATTCACAAACATTGTCTTAAAACTTCTTTTTTCAGCAGGTATATTAGTCTTGAAACTTAACAGCACATGTTGCACCTCATATGCATGCCATAAAGTAAGATAGGTAGCTTCAAAATAAAAGGAAAGAAAATTTTCATGGCATCAAACACATATATGAAACAACAGAAATTTCTCTGACCGTAACGCACAATTACACAGAAGCTTTTTACAAGCCCTAATCGAGCCATTCAAAGTTCAAGATCAGATGCAAAAACCCCAAGCACAAATAGAGCACACAGACATCAAATCACATCCTTGCTCAAAACGCGTGAAGGGCGCATAAGAACATTAAAAGCAAATTCAGCCAACTAACATACCTATACTTCACAGAAACATTAATCCTAATTCCAATCAACAGAAATCACTATGTACCTTAGACCTAAAAACACTGGCGCCCATGTACAACATTCAGTAATCCTATGTCGAAATAGTTATGTCCATACACAAATGTATTCATATATCACATTCCAAATAGCACTCAGAACCAAATGGTGTTCATCCCAGAGCGAAACAGCAAAAGCAGCAACATCCAACCAGTCCCAATCGGTCAAATCCACTCAATCAAGAAAAGTTACAAGCCCCTTCCCCAGTAACGACAGGCACACATGCATATATCTATTATACATACAAAACAAAATAAATGCAAACAATGTGACTCGAATGCAACGAAAGCCCACGTAGTCATATATCATAGCGAATTCAAATTGTCAAATATACACAAATATCAAGTTATAAATTGTTCCAACATGAGTCATAACTCATAATTGGCAATCACCACAAACACATAGCATATCATATATATCGAATTCGCAATGCAAGCTGACCGCTTTCCTAATTTAACCTCTAGCCTTGAGCTCCGCAAGCCTCCTGGAGAGGTCGTCCTCGTCGACCTTCTCCGTTTCCTTGGCAGGCACGGCATGAGCAGCTGCCTGAGGCAGGCCGACAGACACCTCAAGCCCATAGTCATCCGCAACCTGTTGCATCAAGCTATTGACCTCACCTTCCGGTGTCGAAAGCGAGGTGGAGCCAGCCATGGCGGTCTCCATGAACTCGGCCTGGACCTCCATGTTCACAAACTGCTTCTCGAACGAGTCCATGGTCTCCGACATCTTCTGGAGGTTTCCAGTGGCCAGCGACGACTCGAGCGATTTGACGATATTGCCCATTGACTTGTTGATGGTGAACATCTTGGCCTGGGTGTCAAGCCGCGCCACCACGGCGTCGAGCCGCGAGGCGAGGCGGAGGTAGTTCATCTGCTCAGTGCGCTTCCGGATCGCGTTCTCGGCGTAGATCCGGGCGCCGTCGACGTTTCCTTTCTCCATTGCCTTCTTGATCTTGAGCTTCTCAGCTTTCTCCTCCTTCTCGCACTTCCTGGACTGGCGCTGGAGCGACTTGGAGGTGAATTTGAGCTCCATGATCTGGTTCATCAGCTTCTCGGTGTTTCCCATGGCGGAATTTGGGGATTTTTTTGGGGGAATTTGATTTTCTAGGGTTTTGGTTTTCTGATCGGAGGAAGAAAGATCCGAGCTTTCGTGCGTTTTTGGACTTCGATACACGCGTTTCGCGTCCGTGTCTCAGAGACGTCAATAGAGGGCTAGGCCGACGTTTCCCACCTTGCTGTTTTGGGCCCTTATGTGCAATATTTTGGGCCTCGCTTGCAATTATGTTTTTACAAAATTTGAAATTTATAACGTACGTAGTGATATTTTTTGTCATTTATGAGTAATAGGTTTTATGTTTGAGTTACACTGATAACGAGTTCGAGTGCATATCAAGGGTTTTTTGTTTTGAAAAAATTGGAGCTGGGGCATTAAACTGTCGGTGATATCAAGGGTTTTGCCTCAAATTTTCGAACCATTAGTTGGAACCACATCTTCAGAGAGGCGAATGTTGATGTTGACGCTTTGGCCTATGTGGGTCGTTCTTTAACCCTTGATTTTGGAACTCTTGGCTTCCTAGATCGGCTATGGAAGCTTTTAGATTTGATTGTATGGCCAATGGTTTTGCTAAAGATTTTTGTCCTTCAAATATTTTTTCTTTTTTTTTTTTGATAAAACAAATTTGATAACGAGTCCGAGTGCATATAATATATCGTTGTACAAACAAGTAGTTTACAATCATTAGTCGACCTAGAAGGATCTTCAAGCCCAAAACAGGCACAACAAATACAAGAAGGGCCGGAAAAACCCAAGTGAACGCGCCGACTACAAAGAAGAGTGATGCCGATACAAACTAGGAGACATGAAACCCTACCTAAAAACAAACACACTTCCAGCACCCTAGTGGTGACCAAACCAAGGGGAGGCTGATAGAACTTAGCTATCAGACCTCCGCCAAAGGAAAGCCTGTGGGCGGGCCGGTGCGAGAGAGAACTAAGACCAGCACACCCTCGAATCCATCAAAGTAGCTGCCATGTGAGCAGCTTGATTGCAGAACGGGGAACCCAGCTCCATTCAACGGAGGAGGAGTTAGGAGGAGGAGGCAATCCGACCAACTTCTGCGGTAATTTGGAATATACGCCAGTGGCAACGCAGCTATGTTGGTCCACTGATTCGGTTGAATTCCAGTCACTGATTTGATCGTCGAAATAGTTCTTAGCATACACCACATTGATGCGCCCTCATTTTTGAGGTTAGTTGGTCTTGCAGATTACTTACCAACTTTGAAGATTTCTAGTTCCAAGGCCTTCCAAATTGGTTTCTGTAAGTTTTTTTTTTTTTTTTTTTTTTTTTTTTGCTCAAATATATTTATATTAGTTTGATTTTCATTATGTGTAGTACTTTTTACACACTTATTTTTACATCTAACACACCTCTCTTAATTTTCTACTGTCGAATCAAAGAAATTGAAGAATATCAATAAGCAAAAATGAGTGTCTGAATACTATCATCCTTCATATATTGGAATTAGACACTCAAGATATTTTAACACATGTTTTTATTAGTTTAAAAAACAATGAACACATGACATATTTTTATTTGATCTAATCAAAAAGTGAGTACATAGAACATTCACTAGTGAGTACTTAAATATTATTGGTCAAACTCACCCTGTTAGACTCGGGTTTATTTTTATTATATGTGTAAATTTTAT